CCGCCGCCGACTCCCCGGGCTCGGGCCTGGCCGACGAGGCTGCGGACGAGAGCGGAGAGGACGGTGCGGTCGACCCTGCTCCAGGTGAGCGCGCGCGCCCAGGCGGTTGGGCCCCCGCAGTGCGGGCCGGATACCCCAGTACCTGCGAGACTCCTGCCCAAGTAGTCCGGGCTCAGGCAGCCCCGCCCCCGGGTGGCCCCATGTCTGGATATCCCAGGCCCAAGGTGCCCTGTGCCTAGGTAGACCTTCCCAAAGTGTCCCTGAACCCGGGGAGGCCCGGTGTCCAGGTAACACGTGCCTGGAGAGTGCAGGCTCAGGTGGGCCTCCGACGCCAGCCCTCAGTGCAGGAGGTCCAGGCCCAGGTGGTCCTGGCTGCCGGGTGACCCCTGGCCCAGGTAGTCACTGCTCAGCCTTGCCCCTTGGGGTCCTGGTTTCCCCGACCCAGGTGGTCCCCCCACCTAGGTGACCCTGTGCCCAGGTAACCCTGTTCTTGGATAGCCCTTGCCCAGGGAGCCTTGCACCCAGGTGGCCCCACACCCAGGTACCATGTGGCCAGTATGTACTTGGAGCTCGGCAGGTGGGTGCAGACACAGGTGCCCGTCAGCTCCACATCTGCCTCCTTTCTTGCCAGCTGCCTGTATGCCCTTGCTTTAACAAACGGCTTTGGCCTGTTGGATTAATGTCCCTCGGGGGCATCAGCCCTTTCTGAGCAAAGAGCAGTGATGGGACACCTCCAAGGTGGGCCCTTCTCTTTCCCCTTTACTCCCGGGGCCTGTTCCCTTCCCCGTGGGGCATGCGCGTGCGCACACGCCCACACACGCTTGCCTCCGCTTTTCTCCTTTGCACCACCAGACAGTGAGTAAAAGAGGAACTTCAAATTGGTGTGCAGTTATAATTAATCTCCTTGGATTCAAGTAACCCTGTGGGTTTAGAGACGGCTCATTGGAACAGATTACTTTCCAAATAGCTATGTAAATATTTAAAGATGCTTGGCCCACTCTGTTTTCATCGTTTCCCTACTTTTTATAAATCTTAAGCATTCACATATCTTATTCATTTTTTTTGTTTTGTTTTGTTTTGGGCACTTTCTAGCGGAAGGTGATGTTTCAGTTATAGAACGTGTGACGCTCTCTGCGTAACCAGGACTGTTTTTCCCTTCTCCCTGGAAACGGGTTCGCAGATGTTGCTTTTACCTGAAAGGCCAGGGACATAGAAAACCCCAGTGCCTCAGCAGGGCTGTTTACAGTCTGTGGTGAGGAGAACGACCCTTGTGCATTTTTCCAAAACAAAACACACATCTGTCATCTTTTCCTTATTAGGGATTTAGCCAATTCTTTGGAACAGGGTTTATTGTAGGTTTATACAGTGTATTATACGAGAGTTGACTACAGCCAAATTATATTGAGTCAGAAAAAGCGTAGAAAGAAGTTTCTCCAGTCCCGTGAAGAGCCTGTGTCGACTCTGCACACACATGGGGAGTGGACATGCAGATAAACGGACAATAACACATTGTGCACCGAGCCTCGTTTCCTGTCTCATTTCTTACTCATTAACCTGTGGGAAGGAGCAGAAGTCTCTGAAAACGCAGAGCTCATTCTGTGAACTTAGGATTCTTCTTACCGTTTGTCTTGTGAAACCTGGTGACCCCCGTTGCGACCTTCGGTTGGCAGTTTTGAAGCTTAATTCTGGGTTTTCCTCTTTAAAAAGTTGTGGTAACTATGGACTTCACTGATTGTATTCTGATAACACTAGGACTGTTTTTTGGAACACCCTGGATAAAATATTAGGTTGGGACTAAATCGTTTTTCTTTTCACTTTGAAGACAATTATTTTTAATTTTCAAAAAAGCTCTTGAACCTTTACCTCACCTATTGTAGTGGTAGTCGAATGACTAATGATAAGCTAATTCAGTAGTTCTTTGGAAATCACAGTGTTGGAAAGATCAAATGATTTTCACTTTAAGTTTTTTTTGATGTTTTTTATGTTTTTAATGTTTAATTTGTTTTTGAGACAGAGAGACAGTACGAGAGGGGGAGGGACAGAGAGAGAAGGAGACATAGAATCCCAAGCAGGCTCCAGGCTCTGAGCTGTCAGCACAGAGCCCGACTCAGGGCTCCAACTCACGAACCATGAGATCATGACCTGAGCTGGAGTCGGACGCTTAACGGGCTGAGCCACCCAGGTGCCCCGTTGGCTGAACTTTAAATTGGACCTTACTTTTTTTCATCTCAGATTTTTTAAACTTTTAAGATTATAATTTACATCTTAATGAGATTATGGGTATTTTCTATATGTGACTCATTTTTTTAAAGTTTATTTTAAGAGAGAGCATGCATGCATGCAGGTGGGGGAGGGGCAGAGAGAGCGAGGGAGAGAGAGGATCCCAAGCAGGCTCCGTGCTGTCAGCGCAGAGCCCGACATGGGGCTCGATCTCAGGAACCAGGAGGTCACGACCTGAGCCGAGAGCAAGAGTTGGACGTTTAAGGGACTGAGCCACCCAGAGTCCCCATGTGATCTGTTTTTTGAGAGAGTAGATTCATTAAAGGATTCTGCAACAAGTCTGCGTATCCTAGTTGAGTTCAGGTCGACTGTTTATTGAGAAACTGGCGAAGGAGTTCACGTCGTGACCGTGGCATGAAGTGTTCAAGAACGTTGTGGGTCTGCAGGTGGTACCTGTTGTGACTCAAAAGGACAGGATCTTTCCTTCTGAAACCACAGACCGTCCAGTCTCAGCAGGCCTCTACCGGTCTGGCCTGGTCATTACACCGCTGCTTCCCAGATGCTCTTTGAGGAGCGACCTGCCTTTACTGCTCACAAACTCTCATCTGCAGGGTTTGGCTAAGGACTTTGAAAGGCAAATGGGTGTTTTGAATCCTCTGTTTCAATCTGCAGCCTGCCTTTCTTTTGTGAGAGGATGTGTCCAACTGTGGAAAATGCTCGTCATCACTGTGACGAAAGGATTACTTCGATCTTTAAACACGTAGGCAACTTTAGATTCTCCCAGAACTTA